AAATAAACACAAGTACGAATACAGACTCTGAGGCCGGCAAACCGCAACAACGAAGAACCTCTGTCATAAAATATCTATCTATATAAGTAGTATAGATAAGGAGTAACAAGAACTGAGGAGGCATACGTAATGGACACGAATACATTTTCCACAAATTGATTTCGTTTCATGAGCGAGTATCGTCTGGGTTGAATGGGTGCTGAAGTGCTGAGGTGTAGTATAGGTTTATCATAAGAATATATTCTATAGTATATTTTTTGTAATAAGCTTACCAGTTTTTTGTGTGTATTCTTGGTGTTGTTCTTTGTCAGCGTACGTGATTTGGAGCCAATCCGTGTTTTCGCCTTTTTACGTGCCTATCAATATAAATCATTATCTATATTGGTAGTCCCGTCAAACAAAGTTGTATAATTAGTGACTAACAGTCGAAAAAAAAMCAATGGAATTACTGTCTACTACTATGTATTAAGTTGATTATTCTTTCAAGGCGAAGAAAAATCATTTTAAATAGTGGAAGTCAATATTTGACAGTCACCGATCACAGACGTTATTCACCCTGGAGAGAGAGAGGCTAGCTTCTGATTAAAGTCTAGTGCTAGACGAAAAAGTATCTTAGGAAGTGGTTGACTGGTAGAACGAGGAAAATTAGAGAACCAGAAGCAAAATCCTCAGCACAGGAGAAAAAGCAATCACCTCTATTCCCTTAGTGATTTCAGGAATTCAGCGCATGAAGGGCGATTGAGAAATGACAAGTATCAGGGTCCCATAATCACAATAAACAAATGTGTGAAAACTGTGCCTAACGTACTGAAAAAGACCAAAGGATTTTTTTTCTGCCGAGATTTTTTAAAGATGAATTTCAAATTAAACAATAATCAATTAAAACCAATTTATTTGCACTAGATAGATGTGGCAGTGCGCCGTGTKGGATGGGCTCGGATATCAAATAAGAACATGCGTAATAAGTAAATTACGAGCCTTAGATGAAACGACTGAAGAAGAGTGCCATACAAGCCTTTCACAACTTCGAGTCGCGTAAAAAATGAGCCAGCTCAACTAGAAACTGTGCACAGCTGTTTCGGCCTGTATTGGGCCTCGTCAGCACAGTGTATCTAGTGAGCTGGCAATCCTGTCCAAGCTGTCCACAGTTTCTAGTTGAGCTGGCTCATTTTTTACGCGACTTGAAGTTGTGAAAGGCTTGTATGGCACTCTTCTTCAGTCGTTTCATCTAAGGCTCGTAATTTACTTATTACGCATGTTCTCAATTTATTTGCATGCAAGAATATCTCCCAACATCAAATTGGAATTTAGGAATATTTTTGAGGAAGGAAAAAAACCCTTGAAGCAAGGGAGAATCAATCTCAAACTCACATATGACGTTGAGTACAGGAATCGAACCTGGGTGGCAATGGTGGGAAGCGATCATTCTCAACACTATACCACCCCTGTTTCCCTTGCATTTCATTGAAAGAAAAAAAAAACTTCGAAAAAAGGTAAACTAAAATGTCTTACATTAAAAGTCATTTTGCACTTATCAATTTGAGGTAAATAATTTGTTTTAATGAAAGAAGGGAAAAAATCATTTTGCCATTAAAGAATGTATCCTGTGGTTGATGAGAGGGAGGGTCCCTTGTATATCTTGCCAATGGGGGAAGAGTCCCTTGTTATTTTATCCAAGGGGGAATTACAGTAGTCCTTCCTTTTTATTGGCAAGGGCCCCTTATGTTTCTGCTTGTGAGGTTGGAAGAGCCCCTCCTGTTCCTTGCCAAAGTGGGTACTTGTTTCTTGTCAATGGGAAGGAGGTAAATGTCTGTTCACAGGCTGTGACACCTATGACACTGGGTCGACACCATAGCTGACCTTGTACCAGAACATCTTCATCTGTACATTATGAGCATTGCTGTAACCTCATGTCTTCATTGGAAAATATATAGGATCCTTAAATTAGAACATCATCTTCATCTGTACATCTTCATTGTGTATAATATTATATTTTATCATTGCTGTAACCTCATTTCTTCATTGGAAAATATATAGGATCCTTAAATTAGAACATCATCTTCATCTGTACATCTTCATTGTGTATAATATTATATTGTATTATAGCTTGAACTTCATTACTTGCCATTGCCATATCTGACCCTGAAATCAGAACATCTTCATTGGGTATAATATTGTACTGCATCATTGCTTGTACCTCATTTCTTCAGCAGGCCATGTTCTTCAAGCAATTCTTTTAATCTTCCTGATTGATAAAGTTCTGCTGTTTCTGTTCCACCTCCTATGCTCTTCCCTTTTATAAATACATTTGGTACAGTCCTTTTTCCTGTCATTTCTTGAAGGGCATCCTAAATAAGATCAATGAAAAATTTACAGCACAACACACAACCACATTAATGCATTTGCACGCTTCTATATGCACTGGCTTTTTTTGCCAAACTAGCTTTTAATTAAAATTACGTGCCTTCCTTGGTAAAACCAGCCAGGTTCACATCAAAATGTGCCCATTTAAAGTAAAAAGCCAGTGCATAAAAGTATGTGAATAAATTATATGTTGTCATACTTTTTGCTTGTTGCCCTGTATAACTTGAGCTCTAGCCTGAATGACCAAGGTATCAATAACCAGCAAGGTAAAGGCAAGTGGCTATTCAACTTATCTGCCCAAATATTTTAGTATTTAAAACATACCAAAATAAAATTGATTTAAATTTATTTTATTACTCTATACTTTCTTATTTCGAGAACCATTTGCCAAAGAATATGAGAACTAGACCTGGTATTGGCTAGTGGTGATGGTTGGGGGTAGTTAGGGTGTAGAATTAACAACCAACACTGCAATCTTCAGACAAACACTAAACATTAAAAAATGAAGATTTGTTTTAATCCTTGTACATTTTCTTGAGTTTATCACTATGAATTTTGATTCAAATTTCTAATATGCCCCCCCCCCCCCCCCACTTCAACCTTCAACCTATACACATATTTTTCTCATTTCTCAGCCACCAAATACAACATTATAGAATCCCTGTTCCAAACCCTAAAATCTCCTAGCAAACCCCAGTTTTAAAGCGGCAACCTGTTCTTTTGGATAGTACATATCCATAGGCTCTTCTAAACCAGAGAATAGCAAACAATATTACACAATTATTACGTAATTCAAAAACCGTACTGACTTCAAAGTTGCAAAGTACGTGAAGTTTTACCTGAATAGATTCGCCGTCTTTTCTTCGTTCAAGTTCAAATACAGTCATTTTTGAGACTCCAGCTTCTTTCAGGATTCTTTTGGCCATTAGAGAAAAGGAACAAGTAGTCTTTGAAAACACAACAACGGCATCTTTTCGTACTGCTTGTTCTATGAACTTTAAGCTCTTTTGGACCGCCATCTTTTTAGGACTTTTAAAGCTCAGACCCCTCGGTCCACGGGGAGCCCAATTTGGATAAAGGTGAAAGGTTAAAAAATAAAATCGGGGGACCGGGTCGGAGGGGATCGGAATCCACTTTAATTTTTTATTTATTCGAGGTCGAGATAGTGTCCTCCATAACTCCATAACAAAGGGGAGTGAAAATCGATCAAAAATTCGCTCCCCGTCCCGTCCTGCCCCATCGAATCTTTTTACCAGCCCCCATAATACAGAGCGGGCTGCCTGTGGATAGATGACAGAAAAAAGCTTTAGCGCACGGTTACGTAATGCGGCTACCGACGACGGCGACTTCGAATTCCCACGCATCAGTTTGAGTAAAGAACCAGCTATTTTTAAAATCGTAATCTAGTTTCAGGTGGCTACTTTGTGGATCTYACCAACGCCATCCGGTATTATCAATTGTAAAGTAGTAGACTGCGCCATCATCATGACTCATTGAGCGAGGGTTTAATCATACAATAATTTATGAATGGCCGGTTCAACGTCATTGTGTTCCGTGGGCAATCGTGCAATGAACTCACTAATATCGTGTGTGGAGGCGGGAAAATTGACGAGACGGCTTACTTAACTTATCTAGTTTTACAAAACCGACTTCCCTTTTTTGCATACATCAGTTTCCAGGTGTTTTTACTAGCTTTTAAAGCATCTGTTTGCTTTTTTTGTTTCGGCCCCCAGGCCGAAACAGTCACTACATTCGGTTTGCCGGCCCATAATAGTCTCCGTGCGTGTCATTTAGCTGTCAGAGGTTTGGACCTAATCCAATCATATGCCGTTTCCATCATAAGCAATGGGAAAATGTAAAACATTTCACCATGCGGAGTATTTCGGAGAGTTGCGGTGAATCTTCTCTGAGGTAGTTGTGTAGACTATATTATGCCCTTTCGCATGACGCCAGTTTTTGGGGAAAAAAATATTATTGATTAACCCTACGACAATGCGTATTTTATTCCTAAGTCAGTATCTAGGTCCAAGTCGCCAAGTAGGTAAGCTATTGAAAAGTTATCCAAAAGCTTTTGTGATTGTGCGGCAAATTAAGGCAATTTGCCGGTCTCAGCTGCCTGTGAGCATAAGTTGAGAAAACTGGTGAGTTTATCTGTGTAACTAACAGTTGATGCATATATATTTTGTGAAGCAAACTTCCGATATGTTGTAGCTTCGTGCACATCTGAGGACATGTTTTTGGTATCAGCTATTATTTAAACTAGGTCCTATAAACAAACAGTGCATACTTTACAACTTTAAAGATAGAAGTTTGAAATCATCAGTTTTCATTTATTAATACTCTGATGTAAAGTATAATTTCTTGGATTCGGTAATATTTTTGAAGCACCAAAAGATGTAAATTTTTGAAGCACCAAAAGATGTAAATTTTTGAAGCACCAAAAGATATAAATTTTGAGTAGATTGGTGACGGCGCACTGGTCAAAGACAAGCTTTGTATCTTCGTACAAATTGAGACTTTCGCATTTTCTTCAAGCTACGATATAAGAGCTAAATACATTTACCATAATGTCAAAGAGAAGAATGAAGGTTTAAAAAGTATCCTACATTCAACATAGCGCGTACTGTAATGCTCATGTGCCAAAATATTTTGCCTTTTGTACTCTGCTCTCTGCGATACTCAATCATTGTTTATATCTATTGTCGGATCTCTCATTCGTTCGGCGAAACGTTATATGTATGTACGTTGCCCTGTTTTCCCGATGTTTCAAAGCAAGAACCACTAAAATGTCAAAAAAACTTAATTACGTTGTGTTTCGTCCAAGAGAATTTTATAAGAAATGTTTACATCGAAATTTGCGTAAGACTTTGCAGCATGGAAGCGTACCGCGAGATCGCTCTTGTCTATTATTTTCAAAATACAGGAGACATCATTACCACAGCAAGACCAAAATTCTTTATTCAGCAATGCCACACAATAAATAGATAACGGGCCGAAACATCATCGCTTTGGAAGCGATATAGGCTTGTTATCCATCTCTTTGCTTCAGCAGTATTTTAGCGTGGCACGTGGGTATTCCCATTCGTTTCTCGAAATGGCACTTTTATGAAAACCACATGGAGCTCAAGTTTGGGCTCCTTATGTGGAAACCGCGCGCGCTTAGTTCTTAGACATATGTATGGAAACGAAAGAAAACGAAATTCACAAACACACAAAGGCAAATAACAAATAGAATATAAACGTATTAATTTTGTCACTAACCAGTCCTTCGTTTGGGAAAAACGGCGGGAAACTGAACGTGAGCACATGCACGAAACAAATCGTTTCCTTTCGCTCAGTCACGCCCGCGAGGAAAGGAATAAAGGCATGCATTTAAAGCATAAAAGGTTTGTATTAAGAGTTCAATCTTACGCTGTTAAAACTGGATCGCTTTATACGTAACACATGTAGGCCACTCAGTTTATACACCCACCTCCTCCTCCCACATTCAACATTGTTTTTTCTCCCATGTGCCCAAAGCAATAATAATAGAAAACATCTTTCGTAGAATAGCATGTTTTATTTTATTTACTGCTCATTTCCAGACAGCCTCGATAGCCTTGCGGTTACAGAAGGATGTATTTGCCGGAGCACGGTGAGCTTGCTAGCCACACATACACCCTTAATATTTATTCAATAATCTTTAAAAAATACTTCCCTTTATTAAACATAAACATATCATGACTAATATGTTGTCAAATTAACTATAAAAATAATAAATTAAAATCTTTTATAATCTACAAACCCTCTTTTCTCTTGCTGGATTCAAATTCTATGTAAATATGCATGCGCACATGATTGCCTAAGGGACTGTATCATCCAATTATCGACACGTAACCCTTTTTAGTCCATGCAAAAAGCCGGCGTTATCAGCTTCACACAAGACCACTGGGAAAATAGTCCCTAGGACATTTTGAGGCCTTGCGCCACCTGGCACGAAGCAGATACGCAAGACAATAAAACCTAAAATCACACCTGCAGCATGAGATGAAATCATCTAGATTAGCCATTCCGAGGGATTCGAGGAAAGGACTGAGTCGAGTTGGCACTGCAGTGCATTTTGGGGCCGGTTTGAATTAAAGGACGAAATAAACAGCCCCACAGTGCATTGTTTTAATGCAAACGTTTTCCCTCAACGTCGGAATGGCCAATTGCACGTCCTGTTTCCAGCCACTGACTAATGAAAACATTCACCATAAATCACTAAGATTGCAACGGCATACTTAACAAAGCCCTTATCAGACAGAACTGAAGGTAATCAATTCTGCTTGAAGACTAGAAGTCTCAGTTACAAGATGCAACATGGTGCGCAGTTTCTTAAAACGGCAGGAGTGCTTGCCCACTATTGAAACGGGTGCGCACCTCAATGCAGCCGGAATATTTGCACAAATGTGTGCAGAGACAGAATGATAATCATGAACGCATCTACTGTCGCATGCTCGTTCCAAATACCTCCTTCACCTTCAGGGAATCGGTTGTTGTCAGATGAGGAAGTACTGGGAACGAGTGTGCGAGAGAATGTTGATGGTTAACTGAATGCGGTATCTTCGATGTGCAGCCGACTAAATGCAATTTTTGCAAGAGCTGCAACTCTTACAGCGCAACGCTCAAAAGTATGACCAAATGTAATGAATTCGCATACTTCTATGCACGAGTTCTGTACGTTAAATCGACAGAATTCAATGCGAAGCTGGCTCGTTTTACCAAATAAGGCGTGCAACCTCTCGTTTGGCAGGAAAAAGCCCGTGCATAGAAGTATGCAAATACATTAAATGCGATCATTGCTTTTGCGCGTTGCGTTCTGTAACTTGGCTGAGATTCTAGTCCTTCTTAAAGGGTGGTGAAAGTGTACAGTTGCCATCTTGAAACTGACGTTGGTTCGAAACACAACGTAAATTTTAATATAATACTAATAATATATTTCTATTATATACTTTCTATTTCATTGGCATATATATTATTTATATTTTCATATATGAATCTTTATAACGCTTCTTTATATACTAGCTAGCTATTTATCATCAATGTCTATACTACTCATTTTGAAAATCCTATGCGGCCATTTACTCATCATAAATTAAATATCTATGCAATATATTTGAAACAATTTTCCATTAGATATACAGGGATTTCTGTGCTACAAGTACTAAGGTGGTGAAAATGTCAAGTTGATTCAACAAAAAGCTATACTAATATCATGGTACAAAAAGCGTACAAGACCTTAGTTACGACCCTTCGTGTTGCTAGACAAAAGAAGAGAGTGTACTGTCATGGAGTATAATGGGTTAATCAATGCGTTACCTATAGAGCTTTCAAGTTGTGACGTATTTCTGGATCCAACTGCTCACTCTCAATGATTTCACTTCCAAAATCAAAATCTAAAGATTAGAAGTTTTGACAAAAAAATCCTGTCATAAAAGAAAAAAGAAAAATCTTTTCRTTTTGGACCCAGAAGTCGCTTTTCCATACGATTGGCGTCACACTTAAAAGCTCGATACTGACMTTTTGAAAAGGTCATAGTAACTAATGTTCCTTGGTTCCGCGATTCCTAATATTTCTATTGACTATTAACTGTGCATACAAGTTACAACATGAAACGACTATCAAATAGCTATAAAACGTCTATTGATTCGAGTCAGGCAACGTCAAAGAATTGTCAAGAATATCAAAGGCTCACTTCCCAATAAGTTAGGGTAGACCAAGGGAGACCCGCAGTCTTTTATAGCCCCACAGTATGGCCACCTTTCACGGAAACGGTGCCTTTGASCTCTTGATATTAAGACGTCACATTTTCCATTTCCTGAAGGCATTTTGTACCTTAGAATAACACGGAAGCGCTTCCCTTAATTAATTGCTTGCATAAAAACTAAATGTACAGCCTATAAATGATAGTCATTTACAGTTCGTTACCTCCCGCATTAGTCGAACAGTTCCCGTCCCTCTCCTCCCTCCCTAACACTCTCTGACAGCAAAACGTCACAGAGATTCATCGCGTATTTCCAATTAATAAAGCTTTTCTGCGCTTCCCATAACAATTTGGCAATAAGAACTAGATAAAATACTAAATTTGCGGAATAATTATATAAAAGGAATAATGACCGATAAACAATTGCAATGGAGTCGAATTAAAAACCTCTTTCATAAAAAAATATAATTTTTCAAAATCTATCGCAAAACGACAATACCAATTTCAAAAATCATTATTGAAATATCTAGTAATAATTATGACATGTATTAATGAATACCAACCGTGAAACACTGATGCATTTGCGCGACACCAAGTGGTCAGACAAGCACAGATAAATAGCCGTGTAGACTAGGCAAATGGGGTCCAATACTCAGCTCACGGCAGGAATCAATCCAGGGTACAGCTACAAGGGTTGGTAACACACATAATAAATAAAAAGCCATAGGTGATGGAATTCTTGTCTAAAACGAAACATCAAGCCAAAGCGAACCATCGTAGAAATACGGATTCAGAGCTCAGTTGCAGATATCCAACCCAAAGATTCTTCTTACATGTCAGAGAGACGCACGCCACAGAAACTGAGTAACACCTTGGAGTAAGTAATACATGTTGAACCCACGGGATATATGGTAGCTGGGGCTCTTTTTATGGTGCTAGTCACAAGGTTTCGTGGATAGCTGCAACGATTGGGCCAGCTTTAGTCTGAAAGGAAACAGACCATACAGTCAAGTTGAGTAAAAATGAATCACCAATGGAGGGGGTGGGATGGGGTGGGGTTTGCTCTCCAGAGCAAATACAAGGCTATATAGGTAAAACCTAACTGGGCTATCCCTGGAGGGATGCTGGACTTTCATGCAACCTTCAAATGTTTTTCGCGATACCCTGAAACAGCCTCTGGGCTGATCAAAGTCAGGGCACTGCTAACTCACCATTCAGCGTGCTACGTTTTGCAGAGGGAGAAAAGCTGGAGCACTGAAAACTCTTTAAAAATCTTCATGCAACCTTGAAATTTTATCGCGATATCCTGAATCAGCCTCTGGGCTGATCAAAGTCAGGGCAATGCTAACTCACAGATCGAATTGCCATTCAGCGTGCTAAGTTTTGCAGAGGGAGAAAAACGGGAGAACTGAAAACTCTTTAATCAAACCTAACAAATTTTCTTCACATGTGATGCCTAGTCTGGGAATCGAACCAGAGACCCGAGAAGAGGTGAGAAGCGAGTGTATTACCACTACGCCAACCTTGTGTCTGAATACAAACTTGAGATAAAAAGACATACCTTGTATTCTGAGAAAACGTGACAGACGTACTTCCCTCCGCCTTGACACTGAATCAGTCCAAAGTGACCGCTATCGCTAAAAAAACAAAGTACCTATCAATCAAGGGCATCAAAATTATACAGAATATAAAGAGAAAAGGAAAATATACTGGAATTTCAAACTACAATACCTGGTAAGCCCACAGAATGATATTGTATCAGCATCCATGTGTCTTCTTGACAAGGCACTCCTCTGACTATCATATAGAGTCACACCATTGATAGCCACGTCTAGTTGACAGATAAGTAGGGTACCCCCGGTCAGATGCTGCAGATAAGTAGAAAGGATTAGTCTTGCTCTCGGTTACAAGTAAAACCCTAGTAGTAGYTGCGCAGGTGATACGACTGACAATATTCTTTTAATTCCAAAGAGTGGGTAACTTCCTCAAACATATACCTTTTCTCGTGTTGTATTTTGGTATACCTTGAGTACAGATACAAGTACAAACATTTGTTTGTGAGGCGTTTGTAAGGCCTTTGAAATTTGCTATTTGTATAGCTATCCCGAGGTTGAAGAAAAGACTGGATACGAAAATTGTTCTAATAATAATGTTGTCGTGGCTTTATTCTTGCAAAACGACGAGACCCGTCATCCTTTAGATAAGGATTTATGCATTATAGAGGCTTTGCAACATCACGTGATGGCAGCCATGACAGGAGGCACGACAATAGTCTTTTCCCACTGGGAGACTGAATTCTTTCTCATGTAAATCAGATTAGACCAGATTCAATTGTTCCTGCCTCCTGTCATGGCTGCCATCACGTAATGGTGCAAAGCCTCTATTACACAACATTCCTTCAAGATACCTTTGCTGCTTCTTCGACTGTCTCAATACCAGTCCCTACAGCTACCGGCAGAGCGCCGTAGTACTTGACCATAAAAGTATGGCTTGGCTTTGGAAGGGGTGGAGCACTTGCAACTTCTTCCTACAAATATAAACAAAGAGGTAAAATAAAGTTCGCCCTTCCAAACCGCAGATGAACAACAAAGCTAGAAAGCGCACGCATAGGCACTTGATTACAATAAGGAAGTGAAGGGGGACGGCTAAAGGGAGTGAGATGACAAACATAACCACTGGCATCACTGCAGAGTCAGTCATAGCCAATCACTTTTCGTACCTTTTTGCCTCCATTTTTTTTTGTAGTACTTAGTTTTCCTAATAGTCCTTGTACACTTGACATGAAGTTAGCCTGTTATAACAACAAAAGGAACACAGGGTCTGAGTAAATGTCTTTATGAACCAGGGGTAAGGAATGAGAAGAATATTAAGTAACGAAAAGAATTTGTTCAAGGCTCATCTCGTGCTGCAAAGACTGATTCCTACTGTGGAATCTCCCATGATCCTCTTGTCACTAGATCTTTTCAGAGCCTACTTCAAACTGTTACTGAGATGAGGTTCAACTACACACTGACCTTGTCCTTGGATTTGTCTGGTTCTTGTTCCTGAGAGGAAGTAATCTTAGAAGCCATCTCTGGATGAGCATCAAGGGCTTTCTGGTAACGAAGCTAAACAAACATTCAAACAATTAATATTCAAATGAACCACCTCGCCTCGCATCTAAGGCTCTCGAGTTCGCTTCCTGGACTGGTAGAGTTTGTTAGGTCTCTCCCTTGATTAGAGGGGTTTTCTCTGAGTTCCAGGGTTTTCCTCCCTCCTCAAGGCACAACACGCTAATCTTTAATTCGATCTATGAATTAGTGCTCAGTGCCCTGACTTACATCAGCCCAGAAGTCGTTTCAGGGTTTGATCTTTGAGCTTGTCATGCCCTGACTTAGATCAGCCCAGAGGGTGTTTCAGGGTTCAGTCTGTGAGTTAACCATGCCCTAACTTAGTCAGATTTGCCAGGAACCGGTTCTTTCAGGGTTCCATTCGTGAGTTAGCTGCAATGCCCTGACTTAGATCAGTTTAGAAGTTGTTTTATGATTTAATAAAATTTAGAGGCTTTTTATAATCCAAGAAAGGAATACTTGACAAAAAGGCTTGGGCACTAATTATTCTACAGGATGGCCTTATCGTTGGCACCAAGGGTGTGTCGCAAAAGTGGCTAATTACAGGCGTGGTTACCTGGCATGCCTCTTCTAACGCCTTTGCTAACATTCCAGCATTTGGTGAACATTGGAACACACGACAGACGAAATTATCTTGATCATTCACCATGATGTATCCACACAACCTGGGGGAGACAACGAGAAAACAATGACTTGTTAATTCACAACTTTTCATACATAGTACTTTAATCAGGGTTCCCAGCCATTTTGAAAATAAAAATTCCCTGACTTTTCCCTGACTAAATAACAGTTTTCACTGACCTTGTTGAGCCGCATGGGCGAGCAAGGGCCACATGCCTAACTTTGGCCTAGGCCTCGCTCTTACCATATTACACAGGATACCCAACATAATTAAACTGTCCAGCAAAAATGATACTAAATAATTCCCTGACTTTTCCCCGACTTTAGGTGAAAATCACGATTTCCCTGACTAAATAAAAAATTCCCTGACTTTTCCCTGACCTCTGGGAACCCTGTTAATATTCTAACACGAAACAAGCAATCCAACCTGACAAATTTGACGAACAATACTTTCTTTGACAATAGTGACAACCTCGATTGATTGCTTTGTGTTTGACCGAACATGATAATAAGACAAGCTACAATATTTTTCTCCCCTAAATTACCAATTTTATGGTTTAATGCTGCTTTAGACTCGGCACATTTTGTAGGTCTGGAATGGCATGGTGCACGGCACTGAAGGTCGCGGTACACGCGACAGTCAGCAAGTTCAAAATATCTCGATTCTTAGATTACCTTTCGTCCCTGCCAACACCCATGAAGGAAAGAAACCTTACTCTGTCTTCAGAGATTTCTTCTTGTGACTGAAATTTGTTAAACATATAATCATTAATAATTTGATGTTATCAACAAGAAAAAACAAAAACAAATGTAAAAACACAACATTGGTAGGAGCAATTACATTAATATTAAGATTATCAACAGTAACAATAGCAACGTAACAGTAACAACAGCGACCTTGGCAACAGCATCAGTAGCAACACAACCACAACTAGTGCAGTGACAAAAGATAGTTAGAAGTTGATAGAGCATGCAGCTACTTACTGTGCAGTCAGTAATCCTGATACACGACACCGTCACCTGGATGAGTACTGTTCTTTTCGCTCCTCCTTTAGAGGCTACTCTGCTGATAGCTTTATTTAACATTTCCATACCTAAAACACACAGCAATTTGAAATAAAGAAAATTATTCATACTGATATTCTAATAAATACTCCGCACCCACGTCTACCTATCTGTCTATATGGCTGGCTTTCCAGGAATATTACTAACGTTTCAGTCGTAATACTGATTTTGCTACGATCTTATCTCTTCCTAGTCTATTTCTTCGAGCCCTCTCCGTGAGGATCTGGAACCGAAACTAATGGCTGCAGGGGAGACGAATCTGTTCCTTGAACTAGAGGCTCTTTATTTTCTCTCTGGTCTGTCAAGTCAACACCTGCGATTTGTACATGTATGTACCTGTAGGTTTTGGAACATCGGTGGAGCCAAGGTAAGTTGCTGTAAAATCTTTTCGTGGTTCTCTGAGGGGTTTTTCATTGAATGATGCACCATCTAAAAGAAATATTTTCAAATATTTTATAATTTATCTCAGCATTTCAGCACACAATGCTTTAGACTAGTTACGAGTCAATGGTCATGTTACTCAGTTGCACTAGCGTAGGAAGCGGAGGCGGGGGGGGGGGGGGCAGGTGCCCCCTTAAAAAGTTTGCTTTCGGCATTTGGCGGGAAACTTGCCCCTCCCCCTTTATAATTGAGGCTTTGCTACGCCCATGCTCAGCTGATTAGATATGTACTCAGTGATGTTCAGTGATGAAGTAGCTTTTGATCATATCTTCAAAAACTACGAAAAATCAAGAATTGCTCCCTAACCTTTAGCAGACAACGGCGGTGGTGTGTTAATGATATCAGACCAAGGTTTTGCTTGGGAATTCATTTTACTGATTTCTTGAGCTCTTTTCTTTTCTTCTAGAATCTTGTTGCACATTTCATGAAGTGCTGTAGTTATGGCACGCCCAGATATATTACCATGGCAACGAAACATGTGACATTTGTGTTTGCTTGTGCTGGGATCTCTAGCAACATAGGCRAAGTCCCTGAAAACGATATAATGTGTTCAGCACAGTGCATTGGACTTTAGATTTCTAATGGAAGATAGTGATGGCAAAGCAAAAGCAGAAGCTCAGAGTGGATAAAAAATTGAAACAGAGAAAGTTGTTAACACTGAGAAACTATGAAGGGGCACTTGGATGAATAATTGAAGTATTTGAGGATAATTTGACTCAATTATGACTATGTAAACCAGATTAGTGAAAATTTTCGCCTGGGAGCCACTTGCAGTTGAGAAATTTTGGATAAAAAGAGAAAAGAACAATAGGGTTTAGTAATGACGTCATTTACCCACAATTTATATGCAAAAAAAATTGATAATTTTTATCCGAGACATTTTACTGTGAAGAAAATATGTTGTTTGGCTACGACTGGGGCCATATAGATACGTTTAAAGTCATTTCCAATTTTTATCCATTTTCATCCAAGTGCCTCTATAAGTATTTTCTCTGCATGGATCTCTAAACCTCTTCTGTAATACCTGTCAGTGGGCTATTAAGTGGAATGCCTATTAGATGATAATATACAAGGTGCCTGGAAAATGCGACTGCACAAATCATTGATTGACAGTACCTGTGGTCTTCTTTGCCTACACCCCACACTCTCATCTTGGACACAGGTTGTACTAGTAGAGTTATTTTATTTCTAGGCTCCACTAGTTTCAGTGTATCACCTTCAAGTAACAGGCGGATATCTTTGCCCTGGAAATAATGAGTTAAGCTAGTCAATGGTAAATAACGAGTAACAACAGAAATTATAACATTATCATGGCCCAATTAGGGCTATGCCGTCATATGATGGATAGCAGAAAAAAAACAGAACCATGTTAAATTAGAAAGAAAAAGACACTGTGAGTCTACGACCAAACATAAATGCTGTATTGGGATCCTGCAAGTCCAAGGCTACATTTGTACCATAAAGATTAATCAAAGGCCCTTCGGCGAACTCGTGGATACTTGTTGCACTTTTCGAAGATTGGTCTTCCTGTGCCCTCTTTAAGCTTGTTGACATTCTTAAACGGATTCCAAATATTTCGCTCGATTTAATATTTTGAATGCTCAATTTATCTAGTAAGATGAGTAATCGTCCTTATTATTTTCCTTTTAGCTTCTAGTTCTTCGCTAGTTTGTTGAGTTTGTAATTGAAAATTGTCTGAACTTCAATTAATACGAAAGACGACTTCGACTACGACTTCGCGATAGAGTCAACTGAGTCAAGTATAGAGTACAAT